TTCATTCATGTTCAAACTACTTTTTCTTTCCTTTTTATGTATACCTGATTATTGTTTTTTTGTTGTTGTCTAAATAATGTCTAATATTGTAATATATCATCTTTGTTGGCCCATTTAACAAATGTTTAATGAAAATAAAATATCTTCTTCTTGTTTTTGTTGGTGTTAATACTAATGTCTCATAAGATCTATAGCTTCTCTTCCTTAGGCACAAGGATGGCATGGTGGTTACCTAGACTCACCAATAATAATAATGTTCCTTTCTGTATTTGTTTTATCATTGACAATCAGTCTTATATCTGTATATTGTAATAATCTCTTTTCTTCTTCTATTCACAAAAAATTCTAGCTGCCAGTGCAGATGATTTCATGGCAAAATTTGGTCAAAAAAGTTGAGAGCAGTCAAAGACAAAAAATGGCTTTGGCGTTATGACGATTTAGGATGGAGTCACAGCAAAAAATTTAAAAAAGCCTTTCAACTGTTCAAGATGTCATAATTATTTGGACTTGAGCTTTCATCATATATCACCTGCCTAAATTATTTGCTGACTATAGGGTATTGGCTTTGCTGATTATTAAAAGTGACAGTGACCAATAGTTGCTTACATCCATGACCTTTGGTCTCTGGTGTATTGTTGTCTCAATCTGTCAATGACAATGGCAAACCACATCTCCTTATTTGTTATATTATAATTTAAGGTTCATCATAACCTTTTGACTAATATGGTTGTATTGACACCACAAATTTTAATCTGAGTACAGACAAACCTGTGCAACTGGAAAAGTTTTAAGGGCATACGATACAGTAGCAGGGGCAGATAATAACGTTTTCAAAACTTTTCGTGTTGTTTTCGCGACGTTGTTAATCAGAACATTGTAATTTCGTGATGTTTCTAATAAGAACGATTACATTTCGCGACGTCGCTTTAGATGTAGTCACTAACGGGAAGGATTGTGCCTGATATTCATATGATGAAGACATAATCTTTCAATCAGTTTAATTGAAGTCTGGAGCTGGCATGTCAGTTAACTGCTAGTAGTCTGTTGTTATTTATGTATTATTGTCATTTTGTTTATTTTCTTTGGTTACATCTTCTGACATCAGACTCGGACTTCTCTTGAACTGAATTTTAATGTGCGTATTGTTATGCGTTTACTTTTCTACATTGGCTAGAGGTATAGGGGGAGGGTTGAGATCTCATAAACATGTTTAACCCCGCCGCATTTTTGCGCCTGTCCCAAGTCAGGAGCCTCTAGCCTTTGTCAGTCTTGTATTATTTTTAATTTTAGTTTCTTGTGTACAATTTGGAGTTTAGTATGGCGTTCATTATCACTGAACTAGTGTATATATTTGTTTAGGGGCCAGCTGAAGGACGCCTCCGGGTGCGGGAATTTCTCGTTGCATTGAAGACCTGTTGGTGACCTTCTGCTGTTGTCTGTTCTATGGTCGGGTTGTTGTCTCTTTGACACATTCCCCATTTCCATTCTCAATTTTATTTACATTTGCGGAAAGTCCACTGACGTCATAATCCCGATTGCACGAATTTGAAAAAAGTACCTGCAATGAAAATCGGCCAAATCACGAGAATTGTTATATTTATTCATTAATAAGGAAGTCAACAATATTAACTTCGAATGGGAAAAAAATCAAATCCACATTCTTAACTTTGTATGTCTGTTATTTCATATCGGAAATGAATAAGAGATATGAAAAACATAAGACGTCGATGAGAGAGAAACCCAACTACACAAAAAAAAAAAAAAAAAAATAAGTAATTTATATAGTAACTTCACCATTTGGCTCACAAAAAAACGTAATTAATAATGACAGCGCATCTTACTGTTCCTGACTTTGAAAAGGTACATTAAAGAGTTTAACGACATTTTTAGAATTTAATCCGTGGAATCTATATGTGAATATATATGTGTATGAAGAAGAACTGACAGTTATAAGCCCCGTATTATAGCACAAAAACAAAAACGCACCTGTTGATGTGCTAAGCATATCATCTATGTACATATTGAGAGAGAAAAATCGGCACACAGGAATTAGGTATTTGACAGACCAGAGTTGCAACTCATTGATGTTAAGTTACTGAACAAATACGAAGTCCTTTTGTAAAGTAGTTTCTCAGATAAGAAACAAAATATTTGTTGGACCGGACAAACAATGTGGTTGCACTCACTCCTAGATTGAAGGTATAATACAGACAAGTAATGCAATGATTATATGTACCGTAATAAAAAAATACCCTGAAGACAAGCTTATGTAACTAATCTATTGATACAGAATCATTAAATTTCATGCTCTTATATCGACTGCTGTATGAAATGTTATACTACATTGTAATGGACTAAGCTGACCCGATTTAATGTGGGTATGATTTTTTGTTCATGTAATGCCTATAGAGTAGGTCGTTTGTTTCCTTGTTTGAATTATTTCACATTTTCATATCGGGGCTTTTCAAAGCTGACTATACAGTGTGGCTTTTTCTTTTTCTTTTTTTTTTGTGTTGAAGGCCGTAGGGTTACCTTTAATAGCGTTTATCTTCGTCATTTGAACTACGGTTGATAGTTGTCTCTTTTGCAATCATACCAAATGTCCTTATTTTTATAGCATCCCCTTACTTTATAATTGTTGCACATTTTGTCATGTCGGGGCCTTTTGAATAATTAAAACTATGTTCAAGCTGTGTTGTCTACATGAATTGTATGACTAATGTCGGACATGCAGAGATGCAAATTAATTTTTTTATTATATATATCTGTTTTGTTTCCGAACATTTCTTTTCTAAAAGTAATTTACTAGAATACTTTTTCTATCCAAGTTTCGTAACAATTCATAAAGGTTTGGCAAATATGATGCTATTTACGAGGAGCCAGTTTTATTAATTTTCATGATTAAATTCATTGGTTTAAAAAAAAACACCTTGGCTCTACCACTGAAATTGACAACGTAGTAGTGAACGGCGGGAAAAATTTCACGACGTTGTTGCGAATAAAACTTATTCCAACGTAGTTTGGCGCCTTATTGGCAAACGTCCCGTTTGCCTATAAAAATCAAGGTTTATTGCTTTTATTGAAAAAACAAGCACATGGACCCCCATTTTTTTCTTTTGCAATCAATCAAGTTCTGTTTCAAGAACGCTCCGCCAAAATTTTAAGAAAAAATCAACGATAGAATTTTTTCTGCACTTCTGTGTAGACGCAAAAATATTTTCATCTTCTTTATTTCGCTTGTATTAAAAGAATTTAGGATATAATTATTTATTTCAACCGTTAACTTGTTACAGCATGCTGATGCAATGGGTCAAGGGAACATTTTACAAAAAACCCGGTTAAATTATGACTGTTCGTTCAAAAGTATTGGTACTTTCCTTAAAAGTCTTGATTTTTGAAATTTCAGGGTTTTTCCTTCAAATATGCAAAATTCGAACCAAATTACCTCAAAAAGTAAGTCATGAAGGTATATTTTTCTTTGCATATTTCAAAAGTACACATCGAAATTGACCTTCTACCAAAATTTCAAGAAAAAATCAACGAGGGATCTCTACTGTATCGTATGCCCTTAAGACATGGCAGGAACTAGATAATTAAATTTTAAATGCATTTTATGTTTCAGAAAATAAACTTATCTGGATTTTGCTATTCATTTTTTTTTCATTCCTGCAGAAGGTGCCAAAATAAACTAAGTTGGGAAAGAGTTTGAGAAGCTCCCCTCACAGTGTTCTAGAATTCCCCTTTCCCGTCACCCGTGGCAAGTTGATTTAGGTCACGGGAAAGTGGAAATTTAAACCTTTATTGTCCGTGGGCAAGTTAATTTAATTACAGAAACTTCTGGTCCTATTCATACAGATTAAAGATCGATGTAACCGTTTGTATTCTTTTATTTCAATCAAAGTCTCAAAGCCAGATCGTTATTGTTGGTGGAAATCATGCAGAGGTTCTAAAGTGTAAGGGAGAAAAAGATGTGTATGTATTTCGCAATCAATGTCATAAATACGCTTGATAGCTAAGCAAGGAAAATCTGCAATGTCAAGTATCCATCCGATCTAGATGCAAAAACCTAATAACCGAAACGCAAACGGTAAAACATTTAATATCTGGACCAGACATGTACAGTAAAGGGTCAAAGCATCAATCCTTCCTTGTCACTTCCAAAGAAGACAGTTGCACTAGAGCCAAAAAGGAGACAAATAGACTTGTGTCAAACTAAAATTAATATATTTCAAAATAAAATTAATACATTGTATATTCCATCAAATGTTTTGTATATCTAGATGAACATTGAATTATCAACAAATCACAAGCTAGTTAGACAAACTAATTAATTTCAAAAGAAATAACAGAGTTCATAATTTCAAATTAAACTACATGTATAAACATGGCATGCAATGAAAGGAATTACAAAATTAGGAAAACATTTTTTAAATAGTATAAAATTCAGGGAAAGTTCATTAAACTTGTGGGAAAGTGAATTTTTGATACCATATGTATAAAAATCCTGGAACACTGCCTCATATAATAAATGTTGTGAGTAGTATTGATTTAAAAGGACAATAGATGGACAATAAACATCTGCAAACAATAGGTGATTTAAACTGTGTACATTTGTAACTGAGTGGACCGTATCAAATGAAACTCATGTGTTTGTTTATTTTGCTATCTTCTGCAGTGCAGACTAGAAAAAAGTGCATGTCAAAATCTAGGTAATTTTTTTATTTTCTGAAACATAGACTAGAAAAAAGTGCATGTCAAAATCCAGGTATTTTTTTTATTTTTTGAAACATAGACTACATATAACTTTTAAATATCTAGGTCCTGTCATGCCTTAACTCTTTCCTAGATGCATCAGTTTGTCTGTACTCACATAGTAGATTTTGTGGTGTAAACACGGCCATATTTTTCAATTCCTTTTGATGAACCTTAACAATACCAGTCTTGTAAATTACAAATTTTAACAAGTTGCAATATCATGACCAAAAATTACAAATATATACCATTTTCTGTCAGTTGGGAATCAAACTGCATGTTCTGACTCTTTGTACTGGCTTGTTGGTTTGGTTTGATTTCACCGTATTTGTCTTCATCTCCTTGATCTTCTCGCTCATGTTGCCGTCCACCTTCATCAGACTGATTCCGTGCCATTTCTTGATTCAAAATCGCCTGGTTTGTACAGTTGGCAGCACTCCCACTTCTTAGGCCAGGCCTGCTCATACCTGCTGCACTTGATGCAGCGACTAATTTAATGAATCACAAAAATCGAATACTTCCAGTCGAAACGACCTTGACCTTTCATCGTCGTAACGTACATTTTCGAATATTTTTGAAACACACAAAAACTAAAGGAGTTTTAGATTCCATTTGACAATCAAATCAAATAGAAGTGGTAAATATCAAAACGATTCATAAAAGCCCCATCAAATATCCGAAAATAAAATATGACGACTAAATAAAAATCTAATACTGGACACAGCCTAAAATATTTCCGTGATGTATTCATGGGACTTTATTCTTTCAATTTAAATAAAATTAATTGAAATGTTCAGTATTTAAAAAAATGGAAAGAACGATAACATAAGAAAGAACTAAAAAAATATTTGATTTTATAGAGTGTATATTGACTATATTAGTCTTAGATGCATGATTTTTTTTATTAGTTGTTATTGGCTTTGAACTAACAGTCAGTAACTGCGAGTACTCTCAGGTCTGTACTTAGTGTCTTTTTGTTGTAGGGATGTATAAGTACCCGTCCACGTCCACTTTGTGTTTTTGTTAGATGTATTTTTATTTGTTTCCATCTGATGAGTTAAGTCTTTTTCAACTGATTTTTATAGTTTGTTGGTAAGAGTTCCATATGGCACCCCCACTTATGTTGTACCAGAGACATATTGTATTTGTAGTCCGCATATGAATAATATTACCTGTAAGGCAAAAAAACTTTCTCTGTAGAAATTTTAAAAACTACACACGTAAGGTTAAAAACCTTACGTACACATCACTTGTCCGTCCAGTCGGCGAATACGCTTGCCCTGTTTGGGATTCTTACAAAAAGCATTACCATAACAACTCAGGTTGAGAAGATTCAGCGTAAGGCAGCCAGATACGTCTTTGATTATTATGAAGACAGAACACAAGGATATTTCAGTATACGGATATCGACAGTAAACAAAGAAATATTGATGCAAACGTTAAATACGTTAATAATGTCATACAAAATATAGACATGAAATACGAAAAAAATAATGAAAACATTGAATAAATGTTTGGATCTGCTAACCGAGTCCCTGTGGTTTCAATGTGAACTGTCGTTGTTTGTCTTTTCCTCAGTTCACGTTTTATCCAATGGTTTTGTCCATCAGTCTCTAAGTCTTTGATTTATGAATTTTAATTCTCTCTTAATTCGATATCTTCTTTTTAAACGCAAACAATACCTCCAAACAAATCATACATAAAAGCACGAAGTATTATTAAAACAAAAGTCCAAACATAACCAGGTCAATAATTGTCAAGTTTACACACAAATGTTTATCAATTGAGCTCTTTTTGAATCGCTACGGTCGGGTCTCACATGGATATGTTGTTTTCAACCTCCAGAATAAAGCTCAGATTATATCTATGACTTTTACTTCTGCGTGTCTACATTTCTATTAAAATCCCACTCGACGTTGTATGTGTGAGTTTAAAAAAGAAGAGCAGATTGAAGTGAAACACTATATTAACTTGAGAAATCCATAAATAACATGTCAAAAGGCTGCTTACATATGAAAGTTACAACTATTTCATTCAGATAGATTGAATGAATGATTGATTGATACTTTCTTAATGTCCAGTGGCAAACATTCCGGCATGAATATTCAGGACGAGATCAAATTAACAAGTAATACAATAGGCAGTGTAGGTTTTCCGAGATAAAAAGGTGGGACATTTGTACTGTTACTGGAAAATAAGGATATGATGGATAGGGGCAAAATTTTGTATTGCAAACTTTCACCTGTGAACCATGCATGCACTCATGGAGTTATTACAACATGGTCATATTTTGAAACCCTAGTAAAACCACGGGGTTATTTGATTTAGATTGGTTGATTGGTCGTTGCTTGCTCTACACGAAACATTAGGATTTAACTTTTTCATTCTGACTGGGCGTAGCGGCAGGGAATTTATACATCCCGCTTGGTAAAATTTTATTTCATACGCTAAAACTCAATGCTATAGTACAACACAAGACATAAGATTATCATCCTTTACACATTCCCACATCATATATCCTGCCTATTATTAATTTTCAAAGATATTTTTCATTGACCTATTAATCTTTGTGGATAAAACTCCAGAATGTCTTAATATTTGTTCTATTCAATTTGAAAGTACATGAACCTGTAGATTTATATTAAAGCTGTTACAATTTAAATATATATTTATATACAGAGATATATATATATAATATATATAGACAACTCGTCTAAACATCAGCCCAACAATGTTAGATCTGTAAATTTGCTTTCGCAAATTTTTTGTTCTTCCCTCGCCGGGATTCGAACTCATGCTACTGAGAGAGTAGCATGAGTTCGAATCCCGGCGAGGGAAGAACAAAAATTTTGCGAAAGCAAATTTACAGATCTAACATTGTTGGGCTGATGTTTAGACGAGTTGTATATACAGAATGTACACAGCCATGTATCACCATCACTGCTGGTGATTCGATGGATAAATCTGTTGTAGAGTTAACGTTGTCACTGGTTCAGACGTACTTATATATATATATATATATATATAAACGCCTAAAAAGTGTACACAACAACACCAATAACAAAAAAAGGAACTATAAATGTAATTATTTATAAATATTTCGGATAACAGATATCCTTCATCAGTAAATATGATTGTGATGTTGAATGAATCATATATCAGTCTACTTAGATTAAACTATACAAATCTTGAAATTTATACAATAAAAATGTCAAACCGAACATCAGGTAAGACGCTTGCACAATTCTAAATATGTGTTAAACACGACATAGGTTATATGACTAATTACAACAGAGAGTTCAAATATATGCTTTAAATAAAAATATTAATGTGCGATATGAACTAGCACAATTCTAAAGCTTTAACGGTGACGACAGTTATGATGTTACAAGAACGATTGCGTCAATAAGAATTCCAAATAAACAGCACTGAACGATCTAAATTTGTAAATATTTCAAATTTGACAACGGTAGAGTAGTTGCAACAGAGTCTGCGTATTTAAACATCGCAAACAAACGGCCGTTAAAATATAATAATAAATTTTGACTAAGGTTAACTAGTTGAACGTGGCTTGGTACTTTTACATCCCTCAAAAAATTAAGCAATTTAAATTGGTATATTCAACAGATTTATCTTAGAGATGAGTAAGGTAAAGAAATAGAAACAGAGACTGTAATAAAAAGTAATACAACCCAAATGTGAAGCACTGCATGGAGTCGAACTACATCTTTTCATTTATCCCATTTGGTGCCAAAGTTGTTAATTTTCTTATCCAAAATCTTTCCCGAGTGAGTCTATCCTCCCTAGACCAAGCAGAGTTGTGGTCAATGATTGTAATGGTCAGTCGATTGAGATCTGCCTTAGTGTGGCCAGGGGATCTCAAATGTCGACTGAGAGGGAGGTCTGGCTTGCATTGGTAGTCGCTACGATGACCATTCATTCGTTTGTGAAACGGCTGTTCTGACTCGCCAACATACTGTTTACCACATTTACACTGTAGGAGATACACAACATTTGTAGTCTTGCAATTTACATTGCAAAATATGGTGTATTCTGTACCAGTGGAGTGACTGTTAAAAGTCTGGGTAACCAGTATTTGTTTGCAAGTCAGACATCGTTTGTTTCCGCAACCCTTGCAAGAGCCCACAGACGAAGAGCCTGCTTGAGAGGATAAATCAGCTCTCACCAGCAAGTCTTTAAGGCTTTTGGGCCTACGGAAAGCCAGTACAGGTGGCTCGGGAAAGATCTTGGATAGTTTAGGATGTTTTTCGATTTCTTTCCAATTTTCGCGGATTAGGTGAGATAAGTTGTCAAATTTTGGATGGTAAGTCAACACAAAAGGCACCCTCCTGTTGACCTTTTTGACTTTATATTGTAAAAGTTCATCTCGGCTGATGTTGTTAGCACGAGAAAAACCTTTATCAATGTCTTTTCTTTTGTAGCCCCGATGTTTTAGGTGACCGATGTTTAAATACGCAGACTCTGTTGCAACTACTCTACCGTTGTCAAATTTGAAATATTTACAAATTTAGATCGTTCAGTGCTGTTTATTTGGAATTCTTATTGACGCAATCGTTCTTGTAACATCATAACTGTCGTCACCGTTAAAGCTTTAGAATTGTGCTAGTTCATATCGCACATTAATATTTTTATTTAAAGCATATATTTGAACTCTCTGTTGTAATTAGTCATATAACCTATGTCGTGTTTAACACATATTTAGAATTGTGCAAGCGTCTTACCTGATGTTCGGTTTGACATTTTTATTGTATAAATTTCAAGATTTGTATAGTTTAATCTAAGTAGACTGATATATGATTCATTCAACATCACAATCATATTTACTGATGAAGGATATCTGTTATCCGAAATATTTATAAATAATTACATTTATAGTTCCTTTTTTTGTTATTGGTGTTGTTGTGTACACTTTTTAGGCGTTTATATAATTTATTTATTGTGTACGTGTATCGTTATTCGTAACGATCCAGCGCCCTCGTGGGAAAAATCGTTGACTATTATTCAGACGTTTTATATATATATATATATATATATATATATATATATATATATATATTATATATATATAAACAAGTCTATATTGAAAGCAACGTTCAAACCTATGATTGCGTTGGATAAAAACCGCAATTTTTATACGTGTGCATGCAAAACAAATTTCTTGGTAGAGTGGTCTAAATACAGCACAAACAACATTTTCCAAAAGACCAAAAAAGTGAAAAAGTATATTTTAACAAAACGCATTTGACATATATATATATATGTAGAATAAACTCATCATAGATACCAGGATTAAAATTGTATACGCTGTCTGGCGCGTTTCATCTACAAAAGACTCATCAATGACACTCAAATCAAAAACCGGTTAAAATGGCCAAATAAAGTACGAGGTTGAAGATCATCGAGGACCCCAAATTTCGAAAGGTTTTGCCAAATACTGCTAAGGTAATCTTTTCCCTGGGATATCAAATACTAAGTATTTTTGAAAAATTTAAAGTTAGTAAACAGTTAATTTATAAATATGACC